GAGAATACCATGACCGCCCGGCCTATAAGTGTGGGTATCCCGTGTTAGTGATTTCACTGGGAGGCCTTTGCTTGCTGAGTGCAGCTGTGCCAAATCCTTCAATATATATATATATATATATATATATATATCACGATGCTAGAATTGCCGTTTAGGCCGCTGTGTATATTTAGGTTTAAATCCGGAAAAGTTTTATGACTGGAGAACAAACGAAGATACGAACTGGAACTTTACAGGGATTGATTTTTAATTCTGTATGCATTTCGAAATCGTGTTACTTTTTCCTATTTTTCTTTTTAAGAAGTAGGAATATTCCGTTTGTTGCCGAGATCACTACCTTGCCAACATTAGCTCTCACGATCTGTGATTGTGAGGCTCTAAAAGTGGACGCTTACTATTTCACATCGGAGTGACCTATCTTAGGAAACTGGTTTTCTCGCTGACAACTTTGAAAGCTTTGGTAGAACGTCTGAGCCTATAGCAGAATCAACTCAAAAACCATTACTTGGTTGTATATTGTACTTTTATTAATTGCACCTCTGAATGTTTTATGAATTGTAACCAATGTAAGTGGAACTCATCTTCATCTTGATGTAAGTGTCGCAGCAGTTTCGACAGCTTTCAGATTTATGTCGGAAAAGTTCTATGTAAGTTCAGAAAACACTGAAATGCTTACTGTCCTACGAGTTATTTGTGTGTTGCGAGCTAATCTCAATCCCACTAGGGATTTTCGTAAGTCAGGTGGCTATGTTAGAACATAAAAAGTTTTGTGAAAGAGTTATGTTTTTTTCTTTATCACATTTCCTTCATTCTCACTTTTGCTCACATTTTAAATGCTCTGTATATTTAAATACTCTTAGCTGAGCAACACCACGTATATTTAAATACTCTTAACTATATTTAAATACTCTTAACTGAGCATCACCACAACTTCGCTTTAACAAAGTTCAGTTGTGATACTGAGGAAGCCGAATCATTCCTACCCCGTCGATTAGTTTTTATTTATTTGTTTATTTATATAATATAAAATTACAAACTTTATTGCACGGTAATTAAAGTTTGAGAAGAGGACTGAAATCGAGTGACGAGCATACCTTCGTACTGGTCCACTGTAACGGGTCAAGCTTACGGACGATGAGGGGCATCCAAAAATCTTCGATGTATAACGACGCTTCGCATGGAGTCTTTCGAGATGCATGAATTCTTTGTCGTTATTAAGAAACGCATGTACTTCAGCCTCGTTCTGAACGTCAAAAAAGCATGCGTGACGTGTCCTTGGCTTTTTGCGGGCACACCGTTAACTAGAAGTCAGCGTAACTTGAATTGTTGGTAGGACTGATTGGTCATATACGCTGCGGTTGCCTGAAATTGCCAATTTTTCTTTGAAGCAGTTGCGAGTGTTAAAGTATTTCCGTTAACGGGGTGAAACTGTAACCTTGATTTTATATCGGGCTATGAATAAAGGGGAAGAGGGTGGGGATGGAGGGAGAGGCGAGGGAGAAGTTCCAGCATAATTTTGGAAGATTTTTGAATTATTAATTGCTTGAACCATTTCAAACGATCGTTTGGATTTCTTCGTTTGCTTAACGAGGATGCCTTCTAAATCAAAATTTTTATTGCATTCTAAAATACGCAAAATGGAGTTGCAAATAAATTCCTGAATTTGTTTTTTTTAGACCGCGCACGAACGGCTGTCGTTGGACCAAACACTGTGCATCGAAGTGGTGAGGGATCGTCTTATGATTATGGGCCTATCGATAAAACCGGTTCGTGCATTTCTTATTAAAGAAGTATGATTGTTTTCTCATTGTTTTTTTTTTGGATAATTAGGAAAAGATGGAAAGACAAGTAGGAGTTATGAAAAGGACATATGCCGTTGTTTGCGAAATGCTGTTGTAGGGGAATTTCTTAAAAATTATTGTTGAAGTAAAAAAAAAGTGTGGACGGGAAACTATTTTGAAAATTCATTTTTTTTGAGAATTAAACTTTTTTTTTTGCTTTGGTGGACTATTTATCAAAGCATTTTAGTGACAATTTCAGGTGTTTTCTAAAAAATTTTGAAAAATTTCGTAGATATCTGTAAAGTGATCATGCAGTGAGAAGTTTTAACAGTGTTACATATAAATTATCGTATGAACTATGAATATATATATATATATATATGTAGAGCCAAAACTCCATCTATTCGTTACTCTGTCTGAGAAAAACGAAAATATTCTACGTAGCCTAAATGGTGCACGCCAAATTAAACTACCTCTTAGCGGGACTGTCAAAAACTTTCTCTTCGGATGGTTGCTTTTAAGCAATTTGATTACGG